GTAAGGTTGAATTACAATTACTATTTTAGCCACAGTTGAAAGCAATCAAACCAATAGGTGCTATTTGGAATTAATTTTTGCTGGCTAGTTCTTTGAAGCAATAAGACCAATTGACAAAACATGGGTCTCATCTCGGTTTAGATATTAAGATGATCAGTAAATGTGGCTTAAATAGTTTGTCAGAAATGGACGGGATTCTCGTTAGTTTGGACAGCATTTTGTACTTTCTTTCTAGAGTATGAAATGTTTAAGCACATAGGTAACATCTTTTCAGAAATCCCTCACTTCATCAAATGTTTTGAGTAAATATCCTCAAGTAGGAAGGAAGAGAAACGTTTACGAAAGTAGTATAAGAAATGTATTCTTTCACTGAACTGCTGATGTGGGCGTTGGGTGAAATTTGTCAAAATGGTGATAGTTGCAGTACTCTTTCTAGAACTAGAACAGTTCTTAAAAATGAACTCTACTTATATGTAGTTCCTACATTGGATCTACGCGTCATTTACCTTTAGCTTGCAAGAATTTTTTTAACTCGATTAACGTTCTAACCGAAAATTGCTACTAATTTTGGCAGCTCACTGAACATGGTGGCTTTCACGAAGATCCTGAAGAAGTTCGACAAGGTGAGATATACATAAATGGTGCCATTTTTTCAGCCTTCATGACACAAGATAGAATATACAAGATATTTTGGGTTCCCATTTATATCAATCTTGTTGTTTCTTATATGCATTTACCACACTAACTTCTGGTGCAAGTAAACTGAAGCAAACAACTTTTTTTTCTTCTTTTCCTTTGTGTAGGTATCAAACCAGCAGGCGTCAGCAAGCTATCTGAAAGCAGTGAAGAGATCACATTTTATCAGTTCTGATAAGGTAACTAATCAGATGCCCTGCAACCCTAGCTCATTGTCCTGAATATGATATATTTCTAAATACTTTTTTTTTTGTTGGGAAGAATGGGTTTAATGGTTTTCTGATGGGGATTCTGTGTGTTATTATATTTGGTTTGGAAAGGTCGTTAAACTAATGGATGAAGTGGAGTCCATTTTCACAAAGCACTTTACCAGTGATGACAAGAAAAAGGCAATGAAGTTTTTGAGGCCCCAACAAAACAAAGATTCTCATATGCTCACCTTTTTTGTTGGTAATCTCTCTCTCTCCTGCCTTAACAGTATAATCAAATTGGCCACAAAAGCTAAACAGTATAATCACTGAAAATGTCTGATGTCTTCCCTATTAATGACAGCAACATCACTTGTGTAATGCAATATCATGTACGTATGGTTTAGTCTTTGGGCCAACATGAACCGCATTATAATTCTCCATGTAAAATGCACTACGAAGCTCTGCTTCCCACTAATCCAGAAAGTGGGATTGCTCAATACTTAATTGAATGAATCATCACCACACATTTTCCTGGGGCCCGCCAAGCAGGGGCCCAATTTTTGTATGAGTTTTCTTTTTTATTGTTTTTAGTTTTTTGTGGTGACTTTTTAATAAAGTCGTTTTCCTCTGTCTTATTTCTAGAAAATAAAGAAGTTTTTTTCTTTCTGTTGCTGCAGGTTTGTTTACAGGTTGTTTTGTATCATTGTTTAGTGTGTACGCAATCTTAGCGCACTTGTCTGGTATTTTCTCCCCTACCACAGAAAGAGATTACTTGGAAACTGTCTACCCTGTTTTCAGGTGCCCTCTTCATCTCATTAGCCTTTTCTGTTTTCACATATACTGCTATTAAAATAATAAAAACAAATAGAAACTATATCATGATAATGAGAAAGTTTCTATCATGAACTCCTCAAATAAAATTATTTGGACTATAATTGTGAACTGTATTGTGGATAATACAGGCGGGACTCACTTGTATAGATCGAGCGGTACGTAGCTCTACTAGTAGTGTGGAATATGATCTTTCTGTCACTTGAATGCATTGATATAAGCTAATATATCCCTAACATCTCATTAGCTGTTAGATAATGAAGTATTTAAGCTTAATTAAGTGGAATTTGTTAACTTGTTGGTCCAATCCGTAACAACTTAACCTTTTCGGGGACAGTAATTGGCTAATAAACTATCATAGCTCTGGTTTTAGGAGGTCCTGAGTTCGAAATCTCTTTGTCTGCATTTCTCTGCAATCTTAAAATGAGGGGAACTTAACTTTATCAGTGTGCTAATTGTGCGGGTGTGAATTTTGTGCAGTGTTTTTGCTTTGCTCAGCCTGCACTTGTTTATGTATGGTTGCAACCTATTCATGTGGAAGAATACAAGAATCAATTACAACTTCATATTTGAATTTCAACCAAGCACGGCCCTAAAATATCGCGATGCCTTCCTCATATGTACAACCTTCATGACTGCTGTGGTTGGTGCAATGGTTGTGCACTTGATATTAAGGGCCAATGGCTTCTCAAGCCAAGTTGATGCCATTCCTGGAATTTTCCTTCTGGTTAGTTCTGTTACTTTCATCAAGGTCTTGTTCAAGTCAAGGTAGCTAGGACTTGAGCAACTTATGTGGAACATAATAATCATAACTCAGGCTTCAAAGAAAGTAACTGAGAAAATTGAGACACATAGCATGAAGCATTGTACTAATCATCAAATGAATTTTGCAGTTCTCCATTGCCCTGCTCATATGCCCGTTCGACATCTTCTATCGACCAACTCGTTACTGCTTCATTAGAGTAATTCGCAACATAGTCTGCTCCCCACTTTACAAGGTACATTTACTTCTTTGCTCATTGTCTCATCAATTACTCGGCTTATTTTAAGCAAATGTTTTGAAATTAGCATTAAGAAGCTTTGCTTTTTTATCTGAAACCTGTGCAGGTTTTGATGGTAGACTTTTTTATGGCTGATCAACTAACTAGCCAGGTAATTACATTATGATCCACTGATAAAAGAAAATTTCTAATGCCACCATAAACCAATTCACAAAAGAAAATTTCATTAATCAAGCACCTTTTATCTCCCTGCTTGTAGATCCCATTGCTGAGACACATGGAATCCACAGCCTGTTACTTTCTTGCTGGAAGTTTCAGAACACACCAATACGAAACCTGCCGAACTGGAAGGCTGTTTAGAGAGCTGCTTTATGTTATCTCATTCTTGCCATACTACTGGCGTGCCATGCAAGTATGACCACAAAAACCTTATGCAGATTCTCCCATTATTTTATTGTGTTATTATTTTCATTCTTACGCCAAATTTATCAGCATCGATATCAGTTTTCCCCTGGAAATTAGTTTGAAATAAATCCGTTTTAGGATAACAAACCGCATTTGACTTAAAATTATGATTGGAAATATGAATGTGTATTCATTTTTTACTTGAACCAATATAATGGACATTTGAACACTTCTGTAACGTTATAATTATTCAGTCCAACTAACATGTGGCCTTTGAATGCAACGAACTACCAGTGTGCAAGACGATGGTTTGACGAATGTGACGTTAACCATTTGGCTAACATGGGAAAGTATGTCTCGGCCATGGTGGCAGCCGGAGCCAGGATTACATATTCTAATAACCCCGACAACCACCTATGGTTTTATATGGTAGTGATCACATCTGTGGTGGCTACAGTGTACCAGTTGTACTGGGATTTTGTCATGGACTGGGGGCTTTTCAACCCAAAATCCAAGAACCTATGGCTAAGAGATGATCTCATTCTGAAAAACAAAAGCATCTATTATGCTTCCATTGTAAGTTTTTCTTTAAATTTCTGTGATCTATTACTTCATTGTCTCCTTAATTAAAACAGATGCAGACAAATTTCTCAAACCAAATGTTAAAATTTGATCCAGATCTTGAATGCGGTTTTAAGAGTTGCTTGGGTGGAAACAGTGATGGGGTTCCAGAGAATTCCGGACGTTGAATCACGATTGCTAGACTTTCTCTTGGCTTCATTAGAGGTTATCCGGCGAGGGCATTGGAACTTTTACAGGTACTATATGTCTCACAAGTTTGATAATCAATTCAAATAGTTATCCTCTGTTACCAGAGAAATGTTTTTCAAAACCTGAGCCACATATTCTTCAGTGCAAGCACTAGAAATAAAAACCCAAGCTTCTCAACATGCCATGTTTTGTATTAAACAGGTTAGAGAATGAGCATCTGAATAATGTTGGGAAGTACAGGGCAGTGAAGGCAGTTCCTCTACCATTCCGTGAGACAGATTCTGATGGCTGAGAAAATTTAGTCTTTATATGTACAGAAACCCCGAAATGCTGATATGGGACAATTTAAGCCAAGGCAGAAGGAATCCACATTTTCTTATATCAATGTGTGAGATCCTGCCATCCATTCATCTCATATCCAATTCGGAACATGAATTGTAAGGCGCTCAGTGTAATGAAGAAAAGCGCTTCTCAAATGGAATTACGTTTCTTTGTCGTACGTTTGGCATTTTAAATTGGATTTGCTAATGTAGGTGTATCATATATTTCTGGAAAGACAGATCCTTCTTCGATTGGCTATCAAAATGTTGGCATTTAAAAAGATATATAGCCATCAATATGAACCCTGCTACATGAAATAAAAATTGGAATGACTGATCTGATTCCAACACATTGTCTTAATTGGATGAGAATAAGCAGAACATGATTCTTTGTTATCTGACGACTGTCACAGAAAGAATAGCATGATTAGGGGCTTATCATTTCTTTATGGAAATTGGTCAAATATGATTCTTCAAAGCAAAGTTTCATCTTGGAAGTTCTGCATTAGAAATGTTACTGTGAGAATGAGGCTTTGTGGTCAAAGTTTCCTAATCTGTGATCCTAGTGGCAGATTAAGTAATGTTACATATGCAATGGCAGGAAAGGAAGCTCTATAAGCACACCAGCTCTCTCCCTACATAAATGGTGAGTCTTACAGAACTTGAATGAAGTTCAAGCCATAGAGCCTCTTACATTGTAGTTTTTCCTTGGTATTTTAACATGCAAAGAATGTGCATAACATGCATAGTATACGTAATACATTGTGCTACAATGCTTGAACTGGTTCCCATAAGGTAGTAGTATAGGATATAATTTGAATCTTACCAAGCTCTGCATGCATTGGAAAAGAAAGCTTCCATCTTTAAATAAGTATACATCCAAATAAATATTGGAGCACTTATATGCACCTGCTAAAACATTATAATACATGATAATTTAGAAGTTTGCTATCAATCAGTGTCTTGTGTATGTGTCTCTGCAAACCTTCAGAACAAGGCATCAATCAACTTTACTAGACTGTTTCTTTTTTAAAGAGCCTGCTATTCTCTTTGAGAGACAGTAAGCAGTTGATTGGATGGTGATCATGGGATTGACACCAACAGCACTAGGCAGAACACTAGCATCACAGACGAAAAGGCCTTCTGCTTCCCAACTCTCCCCATTCTCATCAACTGCTCCTTCTTTTTCATTGATTCCCATTCTACAGCTCCCCATCTGATGAGCTGAGGAATAGGTTGTCCAATTCTCTACCAGTGACTGTGGCCCTTTCTCTGCAGAGACCATGTCTAGAAATTCCTCTAGTTTCTCCTTTTCAATCCCTTTACATTTGATTCTCAGCCCGTCACTCCGATGAGTGCCAACTTCAACTGCTCCTGCTGCTATCAGGATTCTAAGCGCCTGCCTCAAACCAGCCTCCAAGTTCTCTTTGTCTGATGCCTCAAACTCATAGCTTACTCTTCCTCCTTTCATAACTATCCCCGAACCTCTATCCCTGATAATTGAAATCAAATGGCAAGTTCTTCCATACTTCAGCATTCTTTTCTTTATGTCTTCCCCAGACTCCCAAGGGCACAAAGAAGAAAATGCTCCAGGCCCTAATGCAGGCGTTTCGATGATTGCTCTTAACTTGGAGTCAGCTGAGGCCACCTTATGCACCGATGTAATTATTCCACCCTCATAGATTTTACCCTTGAACTCTGAATTTGATTCAGGAAAGTATCCCCAGGCCATTAAAACAGGGTGGAGATGAAGATTTCGACCGATGTTCTTGTTCTTGAGTCCACTAGAGATCATTAAAAGGGGTGTCAAAAGAGCTCCACATGCTGAGATTGTCACTTTGGCCTCAATTTGCAACTTTTTACTTATATTGTTGCTTAAACTTTTTGCCATTACTCCGGAGCATTTCTTTTTCCTTAAACTTCCACTTTTGATGTTCTCCAATACAAATTTCTCAGCTCTGCATCCAGTTAAGATCACTGCACCATGATCCACAGCATCTAGCAGCCATGTAGAATCCGTCCCCTTTTTCTCTCCTTTTCTGCAGCCATAACCACAAGATCCACAATAATGCTTCTCCGATGAATTTCGAGGCACAAAATCAACTCCAAGGCCCAGATTTTCACACCCTTTCCGAAGCACTTGATTTTGGAATCCCTCCTCTACACAATTGTCTGTAACACCAATTCTCTCACACACAGTATCCATTGCAGAAACATATTCAGGTTCTCCAAAGAATCTGATATCATGATCCTTAGCCCATTCCTCAAGCACATTATCTGGTGTTCTGATGCAGGCTGACCAGTTAACAGCAGAGCCACCACCAACCGTTGATCCGGCCTGGATCACCAATTTCCCATCAATAGTTGCAAAAATACCTCCCAACTCATACATTTGATCCTGGGAAGGACCTTCCAAAGAAGAATAATCTGAATGAGTGAAATAGTTTCCTTTTTCAAGAACAATGACTTTCTGGCCAGAACTTGCAAGAACAGCAGCTGCAACACCTCCTCCACAACCAGAGCCAACAACTACAACATCACATTTGATCTTGTAAAGGTTCTCTTGGGGGTCATGTCTGACTGTGAGGCCTTTTTCAGCAAGGGAGTGCAGGAGGGTAGTGTCAGTTTCATAAATGGTTTCTATCATTCCCTTCTGAAGAGGTCTCTCTTTTGGGGCTGTTGGGATGTTCTGATCATCAATGTCTACATGATATCCAATGGCTTGCCATATTGGGTTTTCAGCATTTTTATCAACCTGAGAAAAGAACAAAGATAGAAAAATTAAAATGCTCTTCGACTGCTTGGAATCTACTCTTTAGTTAATTACTGGTAAATCATGGTTATCTTTCCCATGTATTTTGACATCAATGTGAAATTATTCGACGTAACTGTCACACACCACCACATGTTGTTACATTATTCGACGTGACTGTCACAGAAAGAAATTTAATTAAACACTATATGCTTGCTTGAGCCTTGAGAACACACAATTAATATCCCCTGATTTAAAAGGCATGACATATATACTAGCATTATGAGGGAGAGTGGTTGGTGTAGGTGATACATCACGTGACATCACGTGAGACACTCTCAAAGCTTAATTGATTATAAATTTGTCCAGTGTACAAAAAAAGTCCTACTTAAATGTCTAAAAATATAGCTGATGCGCAACCACCTGATTAGCTCAACGGCACGGCATCGGTGGTGATGATGATGATGTTTCAACCACTGCTTGATTTCAATATTTTATTTTATCATGTCTCATTTGATTATGATTTGATACAGCTTTTGCCAATTCAATATTTCTTAATTTATTGGAATCAATACCATATTATTATTTTAGAGCATGCTCTTTGTCAACCAAAAGATTATGCCCTCTTTTTTTGGAACTAGGGGGAAAACCTCGAGTGAATGGACAAATATTTTTAATTACTTAAACTACAAATCCCTTTTACGCAATAATATTTGGCAACTCAAACCCTAATGTTTCATTATATAAGAATGCTGAATTGAATTTTTTTATGAAAAACTCGTATATATGTTGACTGCCCAATAACTCAAAAACAATAAAGTTATATGATTAAAAAAAATTAAAAAAAGAATAAGTAAGCTAAATATCAAAAGTTCAAAATTATTTATTATGAAAACTGTTGAGAGAGAGAGGAAATATTACCCGAGAGAAGAAAATGTAGAGGCAAAGGAACTTGATGTAAACAAATGCAAGCCTAATGGGGGTCAAAAACCTGTGCTTGAACCACTTCTGCAGCAGCCTCTCTCTTTTCGCCAACGGCAAACTTGAAAAGTTGAGAATGAAGGGCCATCTCTCGCCAAAACAAAGCGAGCCACAAAGCAGTAGGGTCCCCAACCGAGTAGACAGGACCCATAAAACCACTCGAACCAACACCACAGCTTCTATAAAGGCCCTCTTCACCAGTAGTTCTGCAACCTGCAGTCCATGAGCGTCCCCAAATGATATAAAATTATTTGAAGGTAACAGACAATTTTATGTATATGTTTTTTCATAACTTATAGGTAACACCAGCGTCCACAAAGCATAGTATATATATGTTTTTTCATATTTTCAACAATGTGTAATAGTATTTTATATACCTTTTTTTTTATAGGTAACATACCATTTTATTTTATCTATTTTTGTATCGGGGATACGAACACAAGACCTCATATGCATGAATAAATACTTTTAACTACTTGAGCTTTAAGCCCACTTGCATAAGTGGTGACATCTTAGTTACATCATAACACATAAAAATTGCTACCACTAGAGAGAGAGAGAGAGAGAGAGATGAACCTCATCAGGGATTGGAGTTTGAGCCCCAGAAGCCTTGTGGAAGGACTGAACAGCCTTATTTGTCCGTTGTTCCTCCTTCCCTTCAAAACAAAAATCATTTAATGGCAAAGCAGGCAATAGAGCCTCACAAACACTTGCCAAAGACTGCATCTCAGCTGAAGAGAATCCATGACTGTATTTTCCTGATCTTCTCCCTCCACTCAACAAAGGATGACACTCCTTTCTCATCTCTCTCTCTCTCTCTCTCTCTCTCTTCTCTCTCTCTCTCTCTGAAAACTAAGTATGTTGTGTTATACACAGTGGAGCATTTCAAGAGAGAAAAAAAAGGGAAAAGACACCCCACCAAAGTTATTATGATATTTTGATAAAAACTATTACTCATTATATATATATATATGTGTGTGTGTGTGTGTGTGGGCAGATGCATATAGGCCCTTTTGCTTGGTTAGTTACAGGCTTATCATAAAGTCATCATTGCAGCATGCATACGTGCCACTTTTGTAAACCAGAATTGGATTGCCCCACCAACAAAGGCTTTAAAATTCCCTAACCATAGTTACAATAGAACCAATTTGATATGAATTTCTAGACTATAGCAACAGTTTTGTCTAAAGTTTTTTTTTTTTTTTTTTTGGAGGGGGTAGACTTTTTTCTTTGAGAATGAGAGAAACTTATTGTTTAAGAAATATTGCGAAGCTATATATTTGATTAGATTAATGTTCTTGGTAGTCCAAAAAATTGATCATGCACTTCTCTTTATATTTTTATAAAACTGGAAAAAAAAAATACATGACAACTTTTTTGACGTGCCAAACCGTTCCTAAAATACTCTTTATTATATTTACAAGTAAAATATTAGTAATTTGCATTAAATACATAAATTTATGTGTTAGTAGAATACACATAACATAAAGTGAATGAAAAAGGTAAGAAAAGAAAGATGAGAAGAAATAGCTAGCATTCCTATCATATGTGAAAAATCTTGGCTAACCAAAAGCACCTAAAACAAAATTTTAAATGTCACAAATTTTTAATATAAAAAAAATGTGTTGAAAGAGGTGAGGATTCTAAATTTATCTATTTGAATTTGAGCATCACCTCTCACAATTATTAATGCCATAATTTTTTATCGTATAGTCTTTTTTAATATTTTTTTTACTATAACATACAAAGGAGTGTAAATAAACAAAAGATGAGCGAGAACACAAAATTTTCAACAAAATAAGTGTAAGTAAACAAAAGATAAGTCAGAAAATCAGTTCCTTATATTTATTTTATTTTTTTTAAATAGCCGTCTTTTATTCCTTAATATGTTTACATCTACACGTGGCAAGAGAATAACCAACCATTAGTAGTAGTTAAGTATCATTTTCTTGAAGTTGATGTTATAGCCAATCGGTGGGCACAAGAGGACACCACCAGTCCACAATCATACGGTTATATGTCCAATTTGCGAAAGCTGTCGTCTAAAATAGACTGATCCTGTCATTTAACCAAAATTGTTGAAGCCATTTTTGTAGCTTAAATTGGATACACACACGGCCAAACATTGCAAAATAAGAGAGTGGATGTTAAAAAATTTAAGTAGCAGACAATATAGGTAAACTTCCGTACATATGAAGCTTCCGCGCTACACGAGAGTCACAAAAACACCAAGCTTCTACGCACGGCACCAAACAAAAGTACAGAATATGGTCCGTCAAGAAAGAGCTTTCAAATGTAAACAAATATGTAACTTGATAGTCAGGAAGCGTCAAGGTTGACCATCTGTTGACGGTTTTAGCCATTTCGCAACGGGTTTTACCCGTTAAAAAACCCTTTTGTTTGATGGATCAAAAGCTTCAAGAATTCAGATAAACGGAATTAGGATTGTATGTGTAGAGGCGCCGAATATAACAAGAGTTTTTGAAAAGAAAATTAAATCTTACAACAGTAGATAATATACTGGAAAAAACAAACATTGGTATTGATTATGGACGATTAATAGAATGAAAAAAAAAACAGTAAATAATATAACCTTTATACTTTATATTAATATAAATTTGTATATTTGACTTAAAAGTCTAATTGAATTTCCTAATCATTTGTCTCAAATCAATGGTTAAACTAGTAATGTAAAGCTTGTACTTTTTCATTGCGGGACAAATATTTTCAACACATCCCGCCACTTGCATATACTTCCAGACTCCAGTTGCTCTATAGGACAAATACTTGACTGTCACCTTGAATAAAGGTTTCACGCTCTCCAAATCCTTCCCTAGGAATATGACTTCCATTAACCCAACCAATATGAAGTCTTTTTTTTTTTTTTTTCTAGGTCAAGCAACCAATATTAAAGGTTTGTTTGGTATTTAATTTGAATTCAATTTTTTAAACTCAAAAACAAAATTTGAGTCTAAAACAAAGAAAACCTGTTTGGTAGCCCTATTTTTAAAAACTCAAACTCAAGAACAACTAAAAAAACAACCCAATTATTAAACACAAAAAATATATATTTTTCAGTTTTTTTATAACAGCCCACAAGTTCTCAAAATTTTAAGATTTGAAAATAGTTTTTAAGTTGCATACCAAACAAGATTTTGAATCTTAAAAATAGATTTAAGAACTCATTGTTTTAAAGAAAAACCAAAGTTTTTAAGTTCTCTATTTGAAAAGGATATTTAATGCCCCCTAAGCTTCTTTTGTTTAATTTTGAAATGAATCAAATCTAATGTTTGTAATTTGTTTAATTTCAACATTGATGGACTAAACGATCGAGAAACATAATTTGTTGATATTTTTTTGAAAAAAACATATTAATATAGCATAAAAATTCTAGATTTTTAAGTTTTTATATTGACTTTAGCGTTTCTTTTTTTAAGGAATGGATGTAATTTGAACTCTAAATGTCAAACTTCATGTCGTAGTGTTCTTTTCTAAAATTTATTTATGTCTATTTAGAACATACTTAATGATATTTTTTTATCAGATTGAATTCTATGCGATTATCTTTGCGATTTTCATATTTTCATAAAAACCTATCATAATTGGATTGGATTGGATTGGATCCTGACATCCAAACACATTGGATCATATTGTAAAATCTCAAATCCAATATAAAAAAAAATGGGATTGGATTGGATTGGATTTATAAAAATTAATTGGTTTCGAACCGATGTACACCCCTAATTAAGTGTCACCAAAGTCAAAGATTATTATTGTATCATAAAAGAAAATACATGGCTCTTTCTTCTTTGCATATAAATTATAGCCTAACATATGTGCATAATTTTTTTTCTATTTTATTTATAATTTTAATACATTATCTTCATGTAAGTGTCAAAACGTGATTTCTTTATAAGAAGAATGACTCCTTAATGAGCCCACCCATACTTAAACATTTTAAATATTTTGATGGTGGGATTAGCCTCCTCACTTTCAACTCATCATTAGAAATGTGAATCTTCTTAATTTGAAAATCAACATGCAGAATTCTATAGTGAGGGCTTTATATATGACCCTTAGATGAGGTCATATCTCTTAATCATTTGATCAAATTGGTTAGCTATTAGATAAGTTGATTTGCCTAATCCAACTGCTAAGAGATAAGACATCACCTAAGAACAATATATAAAACCCTCACTGTAGAACGTCTCAAGCAACATGACATTTCCCATAATGACAGATGGTCCAATGTGGCCCAATCAAATGGGCCTGCTTTCACATTTCAAATCCCGCCTCCACAAGGCAAAAGTCATGAAAAACGTTCATCCTCCGACAGCCTCCATAATAACTCAGGAAATAACAATGACCCACTTACCGATGGAACGCTTGTGATCCTCAAGACTTTCTATTCTGATAATATTTTTGTATTTCTTTGGAGGTTACATGTGGGCTAGTTGCCCAAGAAATCCAAGAAAACTATTGCTATGAGTCTGGGCCCTAGCCCAGTCTCCTAGAAACTATAATGAAAGGTTGGGGGTCCTCAAATTAATGAAAAACTAAATCATAGCCCCCGCAATATTTTATTAATTTTGAGTATATTCTATTGGTTAATTTAATTAAAGTAACTACTTAGACCCTATTTAAAATACATTTAGAAGAGAAAAATATGAAAAGAAAGTTTTTGGAAATTATCAGTAGGGGCCTCACCTGGATACTGAAAATTTTGTTTCAAACCACTTTCAACCTCAGAACCAACAAGCAATGGCAAAAGATCACACTCCACGGTACACCGTACTATCCCAGATTCTTTGGCCCCAAGTTGCTCAAGGCAAGATGACAGACTCTTGAGAGAAGGCCTCACAACCTGGAGGCTTTGGGATTGTGGGAGATGTTTAATATCTTCATACATATAAGATAAAGCTAAAAAGAAGCCTGGCCAAAAATGAATTACAAAGAGGACAATTAGCCACGTTAAACTTATTCCTCTTCATCCTCTGGGTTTGGTGAGGAGCTTGCCTTGGGCTGACCAGTCAAATAAAATGTTCAATTGTTGTTGTCATAAAAAAGCTCCAAACTAAGCCTATAAAACTCCTAATATGAGAGGTAAACTTGAAAGGAAAAAACACCAAAAAGGTCTAACCAAAAAAAAGATGCATATGACACAGAAAGGAGAAGTTTACATCTAAATAGATAAGCCAATACATTATACATAACAATACACATTACAGCAGCATCTTAGCACACAAAACATATTACGGAAGCACATTTGTATATCCTCTTTCCTAGATAATCATAAATGTATGATAAGAATTTAAACGCATGTGCAAACCTATGATAAGTGCCTCCACAGTGCTGGGCGATCTCTTGATATAAGAAGAGCCCGAGAATCCAAGTAATCAAAAGAAGGTGCATACAAGTCATCTGGACCAATAACTTCTCTGGCGTTTTGAGTCCCATCGTCATTGGTCAACAAAGGCACTCCATCATCCTTCAAGGCATCAAATACAAACAGCCCTAATCCACAAACACCCATGACAAGGTTTGAGTTCCCCCAAACTTGCGTAATCGCTGTGCAATGGCTGTGAGCATTTGATTCTGGCAAGGAATAGGTGCTGAATAGCCTTTGTTTTCGCACAGAGAACTGTTGCACCTGTGAAGAGGACTGTTTTTTCCATCCTGACCTTGCACTACTGCAGCCAAGGAAGATAGAATCTCCGCGAGAGGAAACTGACTGCACATTTACACCAAGTTTTGGTATCTTAAGACCGACGCCAGACGGATGGCGAAAGTCTAGAATGTTAATAGAATCTTGGGTACAGAACACTCCATCATTTCCTTCTGCTTCCGAGGAACTTACTCTGCAATCCAAATAACCACTGAAAATGTTAATAGAGGTTCTTTGCAAATGTTGCAAAGATGGAAAAGCAGATTTCTACATCGCTTGTATATTCTCATGCTAACACTAATTTCCCACCTCATACAGTATCAACTATAAGCAAGATAAGAAAATGACGTCCAGATGAAAAAGGGTTTATCACATATAGGAAACTAGTGAAGCAGTGACATATTCAAGCGGATGATGGAGGCCAAATCCATTAGAAAATCAATGTTGAGAGCAAATTCATCAAGCAATGCTAGCAAAACAAGTAAAAATATGCAGGAACCAGAAAATGTAGAAAACGGAAAAAAGTAAAAGCCAAAAGAAGGTTTGACATCCACCTGTGTCGAACACCACCACCTAGTTCAGCATCCGTGTTATTCACATGAAGTGCAGAGATTTTTCGACCAGAAGAAGAAACAGATAGTAAAGCTTGAGGGTTGAGAGAGCTAACATCCCATAGAGAAATTGATTCAGCTTCAGCTACAACAACTTTTCCTCTGTTTCTCCACTGCAAAGGACTTGAATTGTCCATTGTTATCACAGGCTTCGCTACATCCCATTTCATAACTTGCTCGCCATCACGGATATCATAAATTCTTACAACTCTCTGACAGCTGGCAGTTGAGACAATAAGAGGTCCGCAAGGTCTATACCACCATTGTTGAGTTTCAGGATCCAGAAGATTAGACAAAGCATTTCTTCCATATGAGATGTTGTTGGGCAAGGGGCCGAGCACTGTTCTTGAAGGGGCTAAACCATCCTCAATATGGAAAGCACGCACATCTTTGGCATAGAAATCCCATGAGCAAAATCCTGAATCCATCGTATTTCCTGCAGATGCTGCCACAACATACCTTCCTGAACAACCATCAGCACTAGGAGCACGGATTATCCAACAGTCTCTCCACATATTAGGTGAAACTCCTACAGGAGGCTTGTACACCACTTTTTCCTGAAGAGACAATGAACCATCAGTCAATAAATCAAATTTCATATGCAGCGGTTACGATTTTATGTCCATCTTTTCATACTGCAGTATATATCCATGTGTTGTATCTTGCTATTCCATGTCAATACTTGATATGGGATAATTGAAAGAAAATAAAAAGAAATTTGGAATGAAAGTAATATCAGATAAACAATTCAAATTCAAACTGAATATGCACAGGATCTGAGATTCCTTTTATTTCTCAATCAGTAAAGAGAAAATAGCAAGTAAAGGAAGGAATTTGAATACTGATCAAGGCACAATGAAGCTCCAACAATAAAGGGGAAAAGTTAAATACCTCGCAATTTACGATATCATAGAAGGTGCACGAGCTATCATCATGAGCAAGAAGAACTGATTCTCCCTCAGAAACAAACCACCCTCCAGTTGATGTTTTTTGGCCTATTTCGTTCAGCTGGTAAATGCAAGTGTCCTCAGTTTCCTCATCAATAATCATTTTCTGTGTATTCTCCTGATCATCAAACTCATCAAGTGTTTCATCCGTTGTGAGAATGAGCTCCGCATTTTGCTTTCCAGTGACCAGTTTTGAAGATTTTTCAACTCCTGCAGTGGTGATACCCTCCACTTCTTGAACTTCACAACATTCCAGAACTTCCTGACCATCCCTCGTTGTAACTTTAGTTTGTTCCAAGGAAGCCAAGAACTCTATTGCAATTGGATTGTCATCTATTAGGCTCAAAGATTTCTTATCAACCTTTGATTCACAACTGGATTCAACTTCTTGGGATCCATGGCTTTGAGAGCTTTCTGATGATTCTTTCAATGCCGTGCGGTTTCGAAGCAACTTATGATGAGGAAAGAGTCTAGCTTCCAAGTCCTCGCTATTCAACCCTTTCATCAAACTCTTAGCATTAATCTCCTCCTCAATATGACCCTTTTCAACCACTTTGGAATTCTGTTCGATATGCTCATCACTTTTCGGCAACCCCATCTTACCACCTAAATCATTCGGAACATGTCCCATGGCCTTCTCAATCCCCGAAATCTTTTCCTGAATATCAGAGAGTATCACCTTTGACGTATCTGGATTATTCATATCCAAAATCTCCTTTGTCTTCTTAATATCGGAGGCAATCCGCTTAACCTTCCCTTCCAAGAAAGCAAGCTTCTCATGAAGCTTACTCGGATATTTGATTCCAGAACGACTGCCATTACTACCTTCTTCAGTCAATGCCTTCCCTTTTAAACCCTCCAAAACCTTTGCACTACTCACAGATTTTTCACGAGACTCCTTCAGTCCCAAAGCAACACCATTTCCACTCTTCACAGCTTTATCATCAACCCGGACAAAATTTTGTTCCTTTGTATCCACACTCAAGCTACTTCTATTACTATTGCAACTCTGTAAAGTCCTATTACCATCAACCCCATCTGGGTTTTTCAGAACAGAGCTCAAGTTAGCTTCTCCATCACCACTTCCCAGAACCCTAAGCCTAACCCCATCTGAATTCTTCTCACTTACAACCCATTTCAGTTCTTTTTCTCCACAAGTTCCATTCTTTTTATCGGAACTCAACCCAATTTTACCACTTTCTTTGATATCCCTCAAAACCCTAATCCCATTGGCGCCCACTTCACTCGCCTTCACATCCAAATCCCTAAACCCTGTTCTCTGCTTCCCACTCGCTGATCCCCTAACCCTACTCAAACCCTTCCCTGTACTCGACACCGCCCTATCTCTCTCTCCGACAGAACTCAAAGTCGAACCGGAACCCCTTTCGGTCCGGCCCACCGAAGCCCTCCGTTCTTTACTAGAATGAGAAAATACCCGTATAAACTCAGAAGGGCTAGAGCTCCTACCTCTGGGCAAAGAAGACATGGACCACCGAGCACGCGCATCGCCGCCGCCGCCACTGGTCGCCGCCGTCACAGACGCCTTGTCGACACGTGGGACGGGCCGGATCGTGGGCTTCTGGGCCGATGATCGGAAAGTGGACCCAGGTAAAGGGTTCTCTTTTCCGGCGCTGGAGGACCTCTTGTGGGAGATGGGTATCGGCGTGAGGGGCTTGGATTGCTTCAGATTGGAACCGGCTTTGGCTCCGATGGTACCTCCGGCTCCGCCTCGGTCTTTGAGCCGGCGAGCCGATGAGGCCGACATGGTAATTTGTCAGTAAATTAATTGATTATTAATAGAGTAATCGGAAATGTTAAGGTAGAGGAGATGAGTTTTTTAAGAGAGACTGGAGGATGAATGAATGGAAGTCTTTTGATCTAATTTGAGTTTCAAGTTTACTCGTTTCGATTCGAGTTTGGGCGGGAAATGAATTTTAGTTTTGAAATTTTGAAATTTTCGGTTTTTTTTTTTTTTTGGGAAGGTCGTTGGCCTTGTTTGGAAGCGTTGGGCCTTGAAAGTTATATAGTAAATGGGCCTCAATGTGCAAAGAACAAAACAAAGGTGTGGACCCCCACCCAGCCATCTGCTCAGTGCACCCAGCACCTAAAAAATTTGTGGAACTTTCAAATTTACCTTTGAGTGCACTGAGAATTCAAGAAACAATAATTATGAAGTTTAAGAACAAAAGAAGGTAAGCAATGGCTAGCGAGAATGAGGCTACACCTCCATCTCAAATGGGGATGCAGCAGTCTCGCCAGTTATGGCAAACTTTTCATTTCTTTTATCTAAACATTTAAGAAAATTAGCCATCCAAAAAAAGGGAGGTTAGCGACCTTCCCGGCCACTGCTAGTTCCCGGAAGTTATGGTTATGTTTTTTCTTTTAAATTGTCAAATCATTGGTACATCGATGGACAAAGTTGAAACTCTGCATTTTTCATTTTTGGAGTGGTGGGTGCACTGATCAAATTAGCCAGATGCATATGTAACTTTCTTTGGGTATATTCTATGTGAACAAGTTTTAATATCGGTGTTTGGTAGTATTTAAAAGATTGTTTTTTGTTTAATTTTATAAAATCAGTTGGATTCATTACCATACAAAGAAGAATTTGGACCCCTTGCCAAATTGTAGGCCCAAATTTCATGGAACCTTCGAGTTTCATCCATTGCAATTGCGTTGAATAATTTACTTTGAAGATGATACAAACGCGCGCACTCTCACTAACCACCAATCCAATCACATCCTGATAAATAAAAACTCCAAACCAATAAACACCGTGAATACTGAAAAGACTATAAATCAAAACCAAGACTTTAGCCATGGCCATGGCTTCTCTGAGCTGTCTTCCTCACTCTCTGCCCGTTGTCTCTCGTTCTTCACCTTCCTCTTCTTCTACAAAATATCTTATTCCGAGCAACCCTCCCTACCCAAAACGTCTTTGTTTGGATTCGAGAAACAGCAATCACAGCAAAAGCTTTGCTCTGAGAGCGGCTTTGGAGGAGGTATCTGTTATTGACCCAGCTCCTCCTTCATCTTCTGGAAGTAAGGGCAAACCCAACCCTGAGCTCATAGCATCTTTGAAGCTCAAGTTATTGGTACGTTGTTCAAATTGCAAGATGCCCATTTGTGGTGAATTTAGCTTATTTTGCTCATGCTTTGATACGCGTTTTTAAAGGTGCTTGATTTTGCATTTGGGCTTACTGGGTACCTCTCTGTTGATTGCTTTATTGTATGCTTTATCCTTGTGTGTGTAGCTATGTTGATATAAACTATTTCAATTTGGTTGAAATACTTTGACATGCCTTTGTGATTCTGATTCAAAAACTCTGAGTTCATTCCCTGTGGGTGTTAATATAAGATCTTTTTGGACTGGATTGATTTTATGATTGGAGGACGCCAATTAAACTGTTTTGCGAGTTAAAAATGCTGGAACGAGGATATGAAGGCTGCTACTAGTGTCATAAGATTCAATACGTTGAAAAAGACTATTTTAAAATGCTTCAACAGATGCCATGCTTTCACCCCTATAAAAAGTAATAGACTTGATAGCCAACTAGTTTATCATACGCTTTAGGACATAAAAATAGAAGTTTTCCGTTGTTAGTTTTTGTTATAATCTTTCTTTCTGATGCATGCTTCAGTTCTTTGAACTCTTATAACTCATTACAAAAGAAGGTTCTTGAATCTTGATATGCAGGTTCATCAATATTTTCTATCCGTGGAGCTTAATCAAACCATGCCCCTCAATTTACAGCTCCCTTTTTTTTATTTTACCAAAACTCCATTTTTAAACTTGTGGACAGAGCTCTGATTGTTGTCCCTTATAATGTGAATGTGCACATGTGGGCTTACGGTAGTTGTGGGCATTTTTTATATGTATTTAACTATTTATCCTGCTTTGTAGTCATAATGGTTTTTTTTTTAATGCGTGGATTATTCCGGTGCAGAGTGCTGTTTCTGGGCTAAATAGAGGTCTTGCAGCTTCTGAAGATGATCTACGAAAGGCAGATGCTGCTGCCAAGGAGATTGAAGCTGCTGGGGGTCCAGTGGATCTCTCAACTGATCTTGATAAACTGCAAGGTAGATGGAAACTGATATATAGCAGTGCATTTTCTTCTCGTACTCTAGGTGGGAGCCGTCCTGGACCTCCCACTGGAAGGCTACTCCCAATTACTCTAGGCCAGGTATGCTATAAAAACTCTATAGTTTCACCCATTTGCATGTTGGTTAACTAAAAACACCTTTTGAAATGTTATTTATGAATTTCTAGTGACTTTACCTCAGCCTAAGGTCTCAAGACACCAAACCTTGAATACATGACACTCAGTTTGGGTATAAAATCCACCACAAGGATGGATTCCATGCCGAATATTCAACAAAAGCATACTGCTGCAAAGTGACTACAAGACACAATGACTCGCATCAGAAGAAAGAAAAAAAAAAAACAAAACAAGCGGCCAAAAGCACAACCACCAGAGCAGAAAAATATCGGAACAAACTCCAAACTTACAATTGATGAAAACGAAAACAGAGAACTATCATGTACCAAAAAGAACAAAAGCAGAGAACTATCTAAAAAGCTCCTTAACTTAGGGAACGCACATGCCCCAATACCCACAAAGTCTTTTGACCATCGAGTCTGCTAGACCTTTCCAGTTTACTCTGTTAGTTAAACCTTTCCGGTTTCCCAGACCAAGTTAGTTTATTCTCCAGGTTTTCTGTATGCTAGAGGTTGTGGGGATCTGGTTTTCGTCTAGTTGTATTATCTATGTTTTAGCTTTCTTAAAGTTACAGTTTTATGATGTTGGTCGTCAACTTAGAAAACAATCTGACCTTGTTGAATAGTCACTTATCATTTTCCTCCAAATGTAACATATGGTGTGCGAATAGGTATTTCAACGAATTGATATCTTCAGCAAAGACTTTGATAACATAGTGGAGCTTGTACTAGGTGCTCCATGGCCCCTGCCGCCTGTTGAAGCAACTGCCACGTTAGCCCACAAATTTGAACTCATAGGTACTTATGAACTCTGTCTCTTGGTGTATTTTAGTTTACATAGTAAACCAATGAATAATCTTTCTAATAAAGCTCCCCGTGATAATGATTACAGGAGATGCAAGGGTTAAGATCGTATTTGAGAAAACTACCGTGAAGACAACAGGAAACTTATCGCAACTTCCTCTATTGGAGTTACCTAAGTTACCAGACGGACTAAGACCTCCATCTAACCCAGGAAGTGGTGAGTTTGACGTTACTTACCTTGATGCTGACATCCGCATCACCAGAGGAGATAGAGACGAGCTGAGGGTTTTTGTGGTTTCATAGTCTCTTGGTAGTTTCTCTTTCAACTTCCACTGTATCACCAATTGTTTCGCCTCACGCATTTTTGGTGTCTTTTGATCTTATATTATTACTTTAGATTGTTGTATGCATGAACAGGTGGATGGAAGTTCCATGAAACAGTGTTCGACAAGGAACTACTGCTTTATACTTGTAAATTTGTCATTGATAGGGTTGTAACTTTGTTATAAAAAGCTTATAAAAAAACTGCGTTGAAAAGTTAGATTTTCATATACAGAAAGGAATTTATACCCCCTCATTCTCACTGGTATTGAATACTGATATTATTCTTGCATGAAAACATTGGTATTTTTTTTTTCTTATCAATCACGTGACAATTGAGGAAGGAGAGTTGAAATTCAGATCTCCGTAGAAAATATGTGGTAATAAATTCGGCAAAATTTTAGGAAAGATTGAGAGATTTAATCAAGCCCAGTCTATAATACTACCTTCTTGTTTTTTGTCTTTTTTGACAAACGACAAGATATTTTCTGACTATTTTAACAATGGAATAATTCTTCACAACAGAATTAAGAAACAACAATGAATCGGCGAGGAGTTATTAAAACCAAATGAGGGTTCTTCGTACTTAAATGAACTTCTGAAATCTTATCAAAAGAGTTACAACTATTAAAAAACAGTTATTTAAACTAATTCGAATTAATAAAAAATTATTAATCCGAAACTAAAAAAATAAATTAAATCTGAAGTGCCCAAGTGCTACCAAGGCCCATTTTTTTATGATTAAATATTATGTATTATCTATATAATATTTAATGCCTAATTGGTTTCTACTTGGCCTAACTTTCAATTATTAAGTGTGGGACTACTACACTTATAAAGACTCCACATTTTCTTCTTTCAACCAATGTGGGACAAAAGTCTTTGAATTTCATTCAAACTTCCACAAAATAGCAATAAACAAGCCTACATTTAGTTCTTCGTAAATTTAAAGACATTTCTAGCATTTCAAGGAAGAATTTGTAAAAGATTTATGTAATGGCCCCCAAACTAAGCTATTCACACTCTTGGTCCTTCTAAAAATTGTTTTCTAGCGTCACCCTGCTATTTTTTTTAAAAAAAATATTATGAAAGATTTCATTAATTTGATAAACTTGGAGTATTATCCAATAACAATGACGTAAGTCATGGAGGCTTTTCCTCTAACCAAAAGCTTTTTTGATCTAATAACAAGGCATGCCGAGCAACGCAGTGAGCCACCTTATTATATTCTATGGGGCTATATCGCCATCTCATTAGAGAGAAAGAATGTGTGACACACTTAGCTTCTTAAAAAAGGTGACCTTCCACACACGCAAATCCTCCCCATCTTTCTCAATAGCAGTAATAATATATTGTACATCCCCTTCACCTTCAATAGTACCGACAAAATTTTGGCGGGAAATATTTATTGCGACACATATTTGTAGGGATAGGTTTATCCCATTGAAGTTCACCGGGATAGTTCTATCCCATTAAAGTTCATCGGGCTAGGTCTATCCTGATAAAATTCGCCAAGCCATGTCTAGGTTAGGTTCGGTTACATCATACTAACCCAAGATTGAGAGCAAAACCTAAATCGTGAAGCCTTAGGTTGACTTACGTGATTATCCAAGCCAAATCGAGACCTAAGTGCCCTACAGTAGGTATACACTTAGGGTTCGAGGCTTGCAAACGGTTTTGGAACAAGTTCGGATAAGTTCGAAAGCTATGGTTTTTTGTTTGAGACGTGGATTTAGGGTTGGAGACTAAAATTCCATTTTTAGAATACTAAAATAATTTTATATAATTTTTGAATAATTGAAACTATTTTTGAAATAATTTTAAATTCCACAAAATTATTTAAGGTAATTAAATACAATCAATTAGTATTTATTAAATAATTTCTGAGAAATTAATTAAAATAAGTTTTACTTTTCCAGAGTTATTACCCGTATAAAGAATTTAGCATTTTCCCCAATTGATACTCGTATTATACACGTACGTACGTGTTTTTCAATAATACTTCCGTTTTCCGTATACGTCTTAAAGACTAGGCATAATGAAGGCAAATGTATAATACACGCATTGTACGCATACGCACGTATTTTAATGATTGTTCAATGTCAAAGAACCAAAATCAAAGTCCACAAAATAATTCAAAACAATTAATTACTATTTACCAAGTAATTTACGAAATCAGTAAAATATTTAAATATTCACTAAAGAAATAATAATTACTAATTAAAGTAATTAAAAAAAGGCTAAGGTATTACTTAATTACATGTATTAAATTAAAGGAGTTAGCCAAAATACAAGAGTGCAGAATATAATTTTATATTTAAAAAATTTTCAAATATAAAACTTAAAAATAAAAAAATTAAAACAGTATAGCCGCACGGCTATACAATCAATTTGCTGATCCTGACCATAAAATAGTATAGCCGTACGACCATACACCAAAATAGAATATTTTAAAGTATAGCCGACCGGCTATAACCTGTGAATAGCAAACTAAGAAAATAAATATAAACTTATTATCTTTAAGTCAATAAAATTCTTAATGAGTAATTAATCGCAAAGTAAACCATAAATAAAACATATGCAACAATTAAAGTGATTAAAATACACAAATTCATATTATGGTATTTATAAAACTAGTCAAGAGTATTATCCATTACGTTTAGGCCATTACCAAGGTATAGCTATTGTTCCCTTTTAATTCTTTTTTCTTTTCCAGAGTTATTACCCGCATAAAGAATTTAGCATGCTCCCCATTTGATAAGCGTGCGCACGTAATTTTCAATAATACTTCCGTTTTTCGTATACGTCTTAAAGACTCGATATAATGAAGGCAAACATATAGTACACGTATTGTACGCGCACACACGTATTTTAATGATTGTTCAATATCAAAGAACCATAAACAAAGTCCACAAAACAATTCAAAACAATTAATTACTATGTACCAAGTAATTTACGAAATCAGTAAAATATTTAAATATTCACTAAAGAAATAATAATTACTAATTAAAGTAATTAAAAAAAGGCTAAGGTATTACTTAATTACATGTATTAAATTAAAGGAGTTAGCCAAAATACAAGAGTGCAGAATATAGTTTTATATTTAAAAAAAATTTCAAATATGAAACTAAAAAATAAAAAAAATTAAAACAGTATAGCCGCGCGGCTATACAACCAATTTGCTGATCCTTACCCTAAAATAGTATAGCCGACCGGCTGTACTCCTCAAATAGAATATTTGAACAGTATAGCCGTACGACCATACACCAAAATAGAATATTTTAAAGTATAGCCGACCGGCTATAACCTGTGAATAGCAAACTAAGAAAATAAATATAAACTTATTATCTTTAAGTCAATAAAATTCTTAATGAGTAATTAATCGCAAAGTAAACCATAAATAAAACATATGCAACAATTAAAGTGATTAAAATACACAAATTCATATTATGGTATTTATAAAACTAGTCAAGAGTATTATCCATTACGTTTAGGCCATTACCAAGGTATAGCTATTGTTCCCTTTTAATTCTTTTTTCTTTTCCAGAGTTATTACCCGCATAAAGAATTTAGCATGCTCCCCATTTGATAAGCGTGCGCACGTAATTTTCAATAATACTTCCGTTTTTCGTATACGTCTTAAAGACTCGATATAATGAAGGCAAACATATAGTACACGTATTGTACGCGCACACACGTATTTTAATGATTGTTCAATATCAAAGAACCATAAACAAAGTCCACAAAACAATTCAAAACAATTAATTACTATGTACCAAGTAATTTACGAAATCAGTAAAATATTTAAATATTCACTAAAGAAATAATAATTACTAATTAAAGTAATTAAAAAAAGGCTAAGGTATTACTTAATTACATGTATTAAATTAAAGGAGTTAGCCAAAATACAAGAGTGCAGAATATAGTTTTATATTTAAAAAAAATTTCAAATATGAAACTAAAAAATAAAAAAAATTAAAACAGTATAGCCGCGCGGCTATACAACCAATTTGCTGATCCTGACCCTAAAATAGTATAGCCGACCGGCTGTACTCCTCAAATAGAATATTTGAACAGTATAGCCGTACGACCATACACCAAAATAGAATATTTTAAAGTATAGCCGACCGGCTATAACCTGTGAATAGCAAACTAAGAAAACAAATATAAACTTATTATCCTTTGGTCAACAAAATTCTTAAAAACTAATTATTCACTAAGTAAACAATAATTAAAACATAAGTAACAAATAAAGTAATTAAAATAGACAAATTCATATTATGGTATTTATAAAACTAGTCAAGAGTATTATCCATTACGTTTAGGCCATTACCAAGGTATAGCTATTGTTCCCTTTTAATTCTTTTTTCTTTTCCAGAGTTATTACCCGCATAAAGAATTTAGCATGCTCCCCATTTGATAAGCGTGCGCACGTAATTTTCAATAATACTTCCGTTTTTCGTATACGTCTTAAAGACTCGATATAATGAAGGCAAACATATAGTACACGTATTGTACGCGCACACACGTATTTTAATGATTGTTCAATATCAAAGAACCATAAACAAAGTCCACAAAACAATTCAAAACAATTAATTACTATGTACCAAGTAATTTACGAAATCAGTAAAATATTTAAATATTCACTAAAGAAATAATAATTACTAATTAAAGTAATTAAAAAAAGGC